ATCTTCGTCAAGCATGATAATCGATCGACGATTAAAAATATTTTATCGTCTATTTGACAAAGAGATTGCAAAGAGATTATTTTTGTATATTTGTAAAATTTATATTATGTACACAAAATATTCATAATTTACTGATAATCGGTGATGGCGTTAAAAAATTCATTATTCAACAGAGAACCATTTTAAGAATTTTAAAAAAATTTTAAAAAAACTTTCTAATCTACTTTCAGTGCCTCGAGTTAAGTCCTTAATGCAGAGTGTCGTCATTTGAAATACTGTTAGTGAAATACCCGTGGCCATAAGCGGCTACCGGAAGTTCCGGCCGTCAATCTGGTAATTGAAGTTGAACGTTTGCTTGATACAATGATAAAATCACTTAAAGGAAATGCAACAAAGAATCGACATCCCCTTGAGAAAAGTAACGTTGAAAGGAAGAGGAAGATAGAGTGGGGTGAGAAAGGGAAGAAATGGGAGAATAATAAACAGAAATAGAAAAGAAAAAATAAATAGAAGAAAATATCAAATAGAAAAATTTAAAGAAATCTAAACTTGTATTTTCGAGTCGAAGGCATAATTAATTGTTTCGATTAATTTATTAGATATCACGTTATTTTTGATTAGATTTTATCGACAAACGCATGCTCTTATCTGATGAGTATCTAATAAAACAGTGACAACATCAAAGAGATAGGAATATGTAAATAATTGGATAAACGATAAATAAATGTGAATAAATTCGAATAATTTTATTATGATTTTTATCGATTTATTCGTGAAGACATTCGCGCAATAACGATCAATCAAATGTACTGAAATGTACAATAAATTCAGGATTGTCTTTCGATACATCCTGAAGTGTGGATTTTTGATTTGTTTCAATTCAATTATTTGTTTCCTGTATAATAATAATTATTAATGTAATAAAATTTCGTATAACGTCTCGCATGAAAAATTTTCCTCCAATATTTTCAACTTAGTCTTGGATTACGGAGCCTTTTCATTCCTTTTTTCCCTTTTTTTTAATATCAACATTATTATATGTATATTAAGGTATTTTTATACGAAATTGAAAACTAGGAAAATTTAATTTGGTCTTATTATACATCTCCTAAGTAAATTGAGTTAAAAATAAAGAAAGATGTTACGGAATTTAAGTAAAGTTTACGTTTTTCATTAAGGTTTAAATATTTTATTACCGTGCGTAATTAGGAGTTTTATCATGGAAAGGATTACGAGCTGAGATTAAAACAAGAGAGAGAGAGAGAGAGAGAGAGAGAGAGAGAGAGAGAGAGAGAAAGAGAAGAGAGACGCAAATTATTAAATGTACGTGTAATAATATTTCAGTGTTTACATTTGAACTTATATTCGTATGTTATTTTTCTAAAAATGATAAAGATAGTGAGATTTCAGTAAAGAATCAAAATGAATATTTTTATGGAAAAGAATATGGATAACTTTAAATCTTTCCTTTTGATATCAGATGCTATTTGAAAGATTAGTTCATGATCTCGTGATATTTTCTCGAAAAGCTGGCGTATTTCTACCAAATCATACTCGAACCATTCCCATTCGATCTTCTCTTGAATTTATTTTTACTTTTATCGGCTTCAGGATCGAAAAGTGATCTCGCAGAACTTCTCGAGATTGAATTGAGAATAGAATCGAAGAATAAGAGATACGTTAGTTAATTGAAAGGTATTATATTGTTATCGAGTATCAATAGTGAACAATGTTAATTAAGACCGTTTGTGAATTCATTGTTACGGATTCCGGCACGGTAGCAATGTTAAAGGAATTTGATTAATGTTCAAATCGAGCCGACAGAGATCAAAGTGAATAGATTATCATGCGTGGAATAATCTTCCAGTAAAGATTATATCGCATTTCTGGATGAAATTCAATTCTAATCTTTTGACAGTTTTCGATAAAGGAATCATATTCATGATTTTACAAAATTTTGATACAAAATTTATGAAATAATATATAAAAAAAAAAAAAGAATTATTCCTTGACTTTGGAAAATAAGAAATTAGATTGTTTGGAGATTCCAAAATTTAAAACGTAATTCTTCTTCTTTAAAAATAATATTTTTTACTTATTCACAGTTTCAAAAAAACAAAGATATTTTTTTAGTAAATTTTTCTAAAGAAAAAATGTAAACTTCAAGCATCAAAGAACATAGAGATCTTTAAACTCAAATGTAGAATAGAAAAGTATCATACAGAAACTTTGAACCACTATAACTTCGAAATTAATGGCCTGCACAAATGAAAGATCAGCAGAAATGCGAAAATTTGCTTTTCAAAATGTTTTCTTATTTATTCCAATATGACTTCCGGTTCCTGAGATATCGTCGTATAAACAAAAAGAAACTTTTTAATCATTTACTTTAAATCCGATAAAACGCTATTAAAATTAAAAAAACTTTAAATCGCTATAATTTCGAAGATAATGATTTTTGCTCAATGAATGAAAGATCATTAAAACCGCGGAAACTTGCTCTTTAAAATGCTTTTTCATTTATCTCGATACGACTTCCGGTTCCCGAGATATCATCGTATAAAGAGAAAAGTAATTTTTAATCGTTTAGCTTAAACTCGATTTCAATCCCGATTGAAATTAGAAAAACTTTGAATCGCTATAACTTCGAAGATAATGATTTTCGATCAATCTATGAAAGATCATTAAAACCGTGGAAACTTGCTTTTTAAAATGCTTTTTCATTTATCTCGACACGACTTCCGGCTCCCGAGATATCATCGTGTAAAAAGAAAGGTAATTTTTAATCGTTTACCTTAAACTCGATTTCAATTCCGATTGAAATTAGAAAAACTTTGAATCGCTATAATTCCGAAGATAATGACTTCCGGTCAACGAATGAACGATCATTAGAAGCATGAAATCTTCCCCTTTAAAATGCTTTTTGATTCATTCCGATACGACTTCCGGTTCCCGAGATATCGTCGTGTAAAGAAAAAGATAATTTTTAATCGTTTACTATCTCCGTCCTCGTCGGATAATCGGATCTCTCGCTCGCACTCCCCTGACTGACCTATCCCAAACTCTAGACAGTCGGCAGACGCGATTCCTAGAAAAACGTAGTACGCATTTCCAGGAAAAAATGTAGGTCACTGGGTCGCGGTCCCATTCATAATTTCTGCACTATTTTAAGCGCTATGAAAACTTTGAATCCTCATATCTCGGCAACCGATCGAGATATCGAGAAAAATCAAAAAGCGATTTCAATGGCACGATTCCCTCTATCGTTCGAATAGATTTCGATAACAAAATTTTTACAACTTATTATTTATTTACAATTATTATTATTATTATTATTTTACAACTATTACTTATTATACTCGTTTGAGTATATCACGATCCATTGGTATTCGAATTTTTCATTCGTCATCACTCACGAAATGTAGTAATAGTAGTAACAGTGTTCTGAATTGTCCGAAGATAGGAAGGATGTTCACGAAACGTCCTCGCTTTTGTAACGCGCCGCCGCTCGTTAACCCCGGCCAGTTCAGTTTCACGCATCGCGCTGCGAAAAAGCGAAACGCGGCCGATTCTGTTGACTTTTCCTATCCCCTTTCGCTCCAACCCCACCTTCGTCCTTTTATTTCTGATTTTTCAATTTCCACCCCCTCTCTGCTCGCATTAAACCCTCGCCCGTATCCGCGGTTACGAGTCACTCGATCCTTTCATCGCGGTCGATTGTTCCGCACCCCCTCTCCCCCCAAAAAGCGATCTTCCCGTGTCCGCAAACAGCGGAGAGCGTTTAATATCTGTTTCCGTGAAACGGACGCGGATGAATAGGAGCGGACTTTTGATTGGAGTTGCGGAAGACTCGGGGAAGATGGTCGGTTTTGGGATGGGTCGGTTTGGAGGTTTGTCACCGGGAATTGTATCTCCGATAATATTGGCCATTGGTGAGAAGGGGTGAGATATGTGTGGTTTGGTTTGCGTTACGATGGAGTGACAGGTGTTGCGTTCGATAACAGGAAAGAAAATTATTGTTGTTAGGGATAGGGGATTAAATATAGGGAAGAAAAATTGAATTATTTCTTTGGATTCGATTGAATATTATAATAATATATATATTTATTAAATTTTGTAGAATTTAATGTGGTATTTTAATTAATAAAAATTTGATAGATAGATGGAATGTAGAACGTTGTGAAAATATCACGAATTACTTTTTACTAGTAAGAAAACCAGAGCACAATTTTTTTCATTTCTTATTTCGAAATAAAACTTTTTTCGTTTTCCAGAAAAAAAATCGATTTTGAATATTCTTCGAATATGAATTATATATCATTAACAAATTAATATCACGTGTAAAGTTTAAATATTATAAATGTATATAATGTACATAGAGAATGCTGAAAATTCTATAAAAATTAACTCGAAACTTTTGCTTCAATACATAATCATTCTTTTCTCGATCGTATTATAAACAATGGAACCCTTGTATTTAACTCGATAGAGAAAAAAAATTTTACATGGAGTATCAAACTTTCCCTATTCACTGTTCGTTCCTACCTTATTTTCTCCAATTTTTTTCGATCGATGATAAATATTATCCATCGCCCAGAGCCAAAGAAAATTTATCCGTACGTAATAAAACGACACGCTCGCGATCAACGCTCGTGATCCCACCCTGGATAAAGAGGGGGGAGGGGAGGGGGGGGGGGGAAACGAAGGGATAAAAATTCCTTTTTTTGGAACACGTCAAAACGATCACGCGCCATCTGATTACGAGATTAGAGAGATGGTTCCGGTGCAATCACCGCGAAACATTTGGGGCGTGGACCGCAGGCCAAACAGAACCGTCTGCCAATGAATAACGGCCGATGTGATGCGCAATCGTGCGCGCATAATTTTCTGAAAACGCGAATAGTATAATGCGTAATGACGAGAGGCGAACCGCGCGCACGGCCATAGAGAATTTTCGAGATTCGAAGCGGCCACTGTAAATCTCGTCCCTCCCTTTCCAGGTCTGCTCAGGCTGCAGCAAATCTATCAGGGTTTGAAGCCGGGAAACGAATCGTTTCAGGTCGAGACGGTGAAACGAATACAAAATATGTCCGAGGCGATCGATTTCTTGCGCAGTTTGGAGGAATTGAATAGGTGAGTGTGCAAATTTTTTCCCTTTTTTTTTTCTTTTTCTAGATCTAGATTACTTTTCAACGATCGATTCTGAAAGAAATTGGCTTCGATTCGATATATAAATGATCGAAGGGAATATATAAAGAAATTTATTCGAGAAGAGTTTTTTCTTTTTTTTTTTTTCAAATTGATGCTCCATTTGATTTCCAGGATTAATTCGGGATCGTTGAATATATCTGCATTGTTATTTTCATTAAAAAAAAAATAAAAAAAAAAAAAAAAGAGGGAGAAAATTCAATCGTAGCTTAAAAATAAAGCCGTGATCCAATAAAGATCAATAACTTCAATACAGAATTTTTTAAAAAAGGATAAACAAATTTGCGCAATATCGAAAAGTGAAAAATTCGTTCGATCATCTTCAAATTCTTAAATTCTAAAATTATAAGGTACAAAATTCAAACAAATTTAACTCGATAGAAAACTATTTGATGAAATTTGCTTATTTTCCGTCTTACTTTCTTTTTCTTTTTTTTTTCCGAAAAGAAATCATCTCGTGGAATGAAATAAAATATATATTTTCCAGTATTTAAAAAGCTTTGTTTCTCGTATAGTTAAAGTCTCTTTGGTAAAGCGTGACGGATCATCCTTTCGTGATAGAATAGAAGCGGTCACCGCGTGTCTCGTGGCCGCAATTTACCAGTGGCCACGCGTTTGCACGGGCCAGGTAATCAACAATCGGACTGACAATGAGACCGAATCGAATGAGCGATTCCCATTACCGAAAACAAAACGTAACTATTCGAAACGTCACAGGCAAACAGCTCGTTGCATCGAGACTTTATCGTCGGAGAAGCGACGCGGCTGGAATTATGTAAATTCATTATCTGTCCACCGTTGTTAGGATCCGTATGAGAGAGAAATCGTATACCACATTATAATACTATTTTATTTAAACTAGTATCAACGAAGTGATATTACTTTTTCAAAAATATGTATCGATGAATTTTATTTATAAGTACTAACACTTTCCTTTGAATAATAAATATAATACCGCAAAACAATTTATTTGAAAAATATATTATTTATTATATTCGATGCAACGAAGATGTGTTCATCATTGAAAAAATTATATTTCAAATTAAACTTATATTTAATAAACTCTTTTTATTTATATATCATATTCCTTAGTTTTACGATTATGATCGATCTGTACTACTTGCACATCACTATATTACCCTTGTATTAAAAATAACACGATTAAAAACACACCACTAATTAAATATTTAAATCTTTGCAGATGGAGTAACAAATACGTCGTACTCGACTGCCCCACGGACATGGCGAAAGATATCGTGGTAAGCCACGTGAGGGACGTCGCGCTTGGGAAAAGAACGTACCACTATTTATTAAGCGGATTGGTAAGAGTTCGACGAATTCCAAAATTCTCTAATTCTCTATCCTATTGTTAAAATTTTCACATTAAAACCATTTTTAGAGCAAAAATTCCAATATACGTTTTCGCGTGAAAATTTCATCGTTTGATCGCCAATACCAACTCTTCGTTTTATATATACACATAATATACCTCGACATACACATACACATAATAATATATCTCGAAAATCAAACTCAGACATGAGAGCGATCTTAGAATCGGATAAACTATTTCCTTTGTCAATGCAAATTGCCCGTATCTATACACCCTTTCGTATCCGCGCACGTCCAACCGGAAGTGGGGGGGTATCGCGTACCTGCAGCTTTTACAATCGTTACAATCGGCCTGTTTTCGCGCAATCAGATAATGGACGATCGATGGGAGAGCGAGGTGATCGAGTACGGGGCCATCAACATCACCGGATTTCGCATCGTGGACGCGACACGGCCCTACGTTAAAGATTTCCTGGCTGGATGGCATCGCCTCGACCCGGCCACGTCTCAAGGAGCTGGCCGCGAATCCATTTCTGTACGTATATATATCACCCCGTTCCGCCTTTCTCTCGTTTCATTCGAATATTCCTTCCTCTCTCTTCTTTGAGAGGAGAATTTATCTTTTCTTTTTTTTTTTTTTTTTTTTGGATGTATGTATGTATATTTGTTTCGATTTTCCTTTGGATGCAAGAGATCGTTTTAAATTTTTAATGAGAAGAAGATTGATGAATGTGTCTGAAAATTGCTTATGTTTTTTTTTTTTTATTTTTTAAAGTATAATTTTAGTGAAATTGTATTTTGATAGATTTTATTAAAGAAATTATATATGTTGAATTATGTATAAAATATTGTATTATATACTGTAAACGATGCTGTATTAGATACAAAATATAAAAGTATTCGTTATCATTTATATAAATATATGTTAAGAGTTTTCTCTAAATATATTCTTTATAATTTTTAATCTTTTTTAAATTTATAAGAAAATTTCCTATGTTTAAGAAATTTTATATTTTACGAATATTATTTAATCATTTCCCCTTTTCCTATTTCTTTGAATTACACGCCTTGTATTATTACAATATACAAATTGTTTGTATTTCTTTTCTAGCATTTATATAGAACGAATTTAAAGTTTTCGAAACAAGCGATCCACCACTGAATTTTTACGACCGCAACTACGCTCGATACAGAAATCAGATTCCCATAAGTAAAATAATCTTTCCTCGAAATTTACCAAGCATTATCCCCGCTCCAATCTCCAATAACCGTGAAAGCACTCGTGAAAGCAGTACCATCAGTCAGGCTGTAGTCAATTTTCGAAAAAGGAGAGCCCCCTATTCGAGCTCCATATTGTCGAGTACCTTTCGAGTACTACAATTTTCTACCCTAAGCGCGTCAATCTACTCAGGTTTCAGGCTTGTTTTCGGATACTTGGCACGGTCAAGGAGGAGCGATTGCATGAGAAAAGGGTGGCCTCCAGTCCACCGGAAAAGAAAATCAAACAAGGGGATACGTAATCCCGAGTCTGAGGGTGGATCAGAGCAGGTCGAATCGAAGGATATTTTATTGAAGGATAATTTGGTTAAAATTTTGATAGTAATTTTAAAATATTTAAAAGGAAAGTGAAGGTATATAAATATGAAAAGTATAGGGAATGAATGTTATTAATAGTTCTTTATGCTATAGATGTAATTATTTTTCTAGAATGTGGAAGAATTTTTATAAAAGAAATTGGAGTGTTAAAATTGTAGGAAGATTCTCGTGTGATATTATTAAGAGTAAATTTGCGATTGAAATAAAATATTGATACGAAATTTGATATTAGGAATTAATATCATCATAATTCATTTTTGATATAAAGGAAAGCATTATAACGTGGCACATACGATTAAGAGTTTTCTAAGAGTCCAAAGATATAATAATTGAAGATAATATTAGAAAAGAAAATTTTCATTTAAATTTTGGTTTTTATATTATTTTGATATATAAAAAGAAGTGCTTTGATGTCTTATAATTAAAATATGAATATAAATATAAAGATATAATAATTAAAAATTGGAAGAGAAAATTTCAAGTTTCATGTTTTTTGAACAAATGATTTAATATTTCAAAAAAATGGTAGCAATTTGCTGGATTCAAAGATATAATCTTTTTTAAATCGAAATAAATCTACGCAATTTGACAAAATGTTAAAATTATGATCGATCGATTTTATGTACAGAAAGTGAATAGAAAGATAAATATTAAATCCGAAAACTAAACAGAAAGGAAGTATTATTTTGAAATATACAAATAGAATAGGAAAATACATGTTAAATCCGAAAACTAAACTAAAGAGAAAAAGATAATTTATAATAATAATACGAGTTTAGCGAAACGTTGAAATTGACAAAATTGACGTTTAAAATTGACAAAAGTTATCACACACAGTTTTTTTTCTATATTTAAATGGAAAAAAAATTCGTAGTGAATAAATTCGACAGAAAAAAAATCGCCTTGTACATCGAAGAACATTTTTCAATATTTATAAAACGTATTTCAAATTGTTTCATTTCAAGTCTGTAAAAATTAAAAGGTAATTAAAAAGAAAATGCAAAATGAAAATATTCACTTGCAATCATTCGTTTGAAAAATTTTTTACAAATTGTAAACATATTTTTATTCTTATCATCTTCTCTTTTTTACATTGAACAATGTATATGTTACAAAATATTTTAAAATTCTTTCGTCCATATCGATAATACAATCCTGAGAACACGCAATTTAATATTCAAAAATTCACAATATAAATTATTTTGGAACTCTTGTACTTTGAATATTGGACGATGATTTTCAAAAATCGTACAATACTGTTTATACAAACTCATCAATGTTTAAAGCAAATATCGAAAATCGATGTAAACGCTACTCCAGCAAAATCTCACGATATCGTGTTCCTTTTTTTTTTTTTTTTTACAACAATATCAAATGGCTCGACGTTTGTTGTAATATTAAGTTAGATTAGTTTCACTCAATTTTATTTTATCAATTTTATTTTCACATATTTATCGAACTGACCACATCATAATAAAATTTACATTAGATTTTGATCGAAACGTCTTTGATATTATTCCTTCTCTTTATTAACACATTCAATTACTCTTCTGCGAATTTAACTCTCCCTCGATACATCGACAAAACGAACACAACTCGATCACCAAATTTTTTAATATATTTATCATTTATCAACTTGTATCTTTTCCTTCAATTTCGAAATATCGGTACGGATGACACTTTTTCGAAACATCACTCAAGAAAAATCCCGAGAACGAGAATTGCAAAAAGAATCAAATTGTGATCACGCGATTTTTCCACGAGGCGAAGGATATTCGAAAAAGCTGTATAAAGCTGAACCACGAATTTCATCCGGCCATAATCGTAACCGCTATCAACCGCTCGCACGTCCGTCGTTTCACCATCGCGAATCGTCCATCGATGAATCGTCCAACCCGGCACGAAAGGGGATCCGAGCTTATCGCGATCTCGTCGCACGATGGCTTCTCGAAAGACGATCCAACACACCGATTATCCCTGATCGATCCCCGCGCAATTTCCTAACGTGCTTCCTGAACTTTGGCCACGCGCCCGCATACGTGATTCCGCATACGTCCGTCCCCTGGCCGATCTTCTTGCCACCTCCTCCCCCTTGTTAACCGAGCGTCAGGGTGATGGGATCGAAAATTTATTTCAAATAACAATTTAGGAATATTTATTTGGGAGGAGTGGTCACAAGTTATATTATGTTCTTTATTCTGCGAATAAATAAATTGAAAATGAATTTTTCTATCTTCGATTATCGTAAGTTTAAATAATTATTCAAGGATGAAGGTAATTCAACAAGTATTTTATTGAATTTAATTTTGACGATATGGGTGGTTTTAATTATTATTGGGAGAAGATTGGAGAGACAAAGGTTTTTTGAGAGATCGAGCTTGGTGAAATTGATTCTTGTACGCTTGTCTCTTGGAATATTGATGGATGGAAGGTTGGCGAGGATATTGGCGAGGATCGATTCGATGTTTTGAAACTGAATTTTTGTTGGTCTCGATCAAACAAATTTTGATAGGGGGGAGGGGGATTTCTCGATTTGACGGACAGAATTGGTAATTTATTTTATTCTGTGTATTCAGCGGTGTGAATGATTGGGCACGAAGCTGGCTTGGACTGCCATAATAGAATTGTCGCGCGCTATCTACCAAAACCTTTCAATTTTCCCTTATATAATAGCGAAACTATTAGATTTATCGAATTAAAATAAACGAATTGTAACCGGTCGCGATTTTTGTCGGTCGAAGCATTTGAAAAAATTTTATATTTCGTGATAATATATTTTCCAATTTTTCATATCGTGATTTAATTAAAGTTACACCTTTCTTCATAATTCTATGTGTATCAGCTAATATATATATTTAATCTTTAGTCACAAAATTCAATAATAATATCAACAATTGGTACTTTAATTACATATATTTTTTTATTGCAAACAAAAATTAAGAAGGTAATAATAATTGAGACAATAATTAGAAATAGCAATCATATGTAAAATTGTTGATTGAATAGAGATAGATCTAGATGGAGAAAGTCAAGAATAAATTATTATTGTTAAATAAATTTTTAGTACATCGATGTATACATATATATATCCGTTTACATTATCCGAGGAAACCCACTTTACATTCACGATACTTCTCGTGCCGGTTTGAAAACAGCTTCATGTATAATTCATGCCGGTACTTATAGTAGCCGTATCTCTAACAGAAAAAGAAAGCAATTTAAAAACCATTGTAATTACCATGATTCCCCTTCTTTGCCGTACTTATGTACACTTTGGAATGAACGAAATAGTTTTTCCAATATTTCACGATATTTACAAAAAAAAAAGAAAGAAGAAAAAAGTTTATTCCTCTCTCCAATAATAATACATTAACTTTACAACGATATTCTTCATCTCCAGATTCATTTCCTATCCTTCCATTTTATCTTCGAGAACAATATCTTTTTGGAGGAAAAATTAAATTTTCTCTTCGACCATCAAAAGTATAATCGAAATACAAGATATTCGAATTTATGTACTTCGAATTTATATATTTAAAGAGAAATCAATTTTGAATGTAAAAATACGAGATATATATATATATATATTTTGATATATTGGAAGAAAAATTAATTTTCTACTCTCACGATATATATTACAAAGATACAAGATCGAGGAAAGGTGCAGAAACGAATTTCAAAAAGAATAAAAATTATTCTTACGTTGCGATTAACCTAACCTTTTTCTCATTTCGAAGCAAAAAAAAAAAAAAAAAAAAAATCACTCATTTTACGATTCTCTTCGCATTAGGCGCAAGCTGCGCTGATGTACGATGCCGTATTCGTCCTCGTCGAGGCGTTCAACAAGTTTCTGAGAAAAAAGCCTGACAGAAGCAACGTGAGACGGACCGGAATTCCTGGAAGCAGTCAGATTACTAACGGCACCAGGGCGCTGGATTGCAATAGCAGTCGGGGCTGGGTGACACCGTTCGAATATGGCGATAAAATTTCCAGGCTACTCAGAAAAGTAAGTGAAATCCATCCTTCCTTTTTTCCTTGGAGAAAGATTAGAAAAAAAAAAATAAAATAAAATAAAATAAAAATGGCTTAGAAATAAATGTGGCTTCGTTTCAACGATTTTAATATCTATTAAATTGATCGATACAAAATTTAAATAACGCTTTACTCGTATTAATTCGTGGAAAGATAAATTTCATTTTATCAATCACTTTCAATCTCTGAAAATTGATTGAAAAATAAAATTTTGCTACATTTATTAATCTCGTTCCCTATAAACCGTTTGAAAAATAAATATATCTTTATCATTAATTCCAATATTTATAAATTGTTCGATTTAATTAAATAACGTTTTGTATATCAATTACAATCTCTATTAATCGTTTAAAAGATAAATATTGCTTTCATTAATCACTTTCCAATCTCTCGAATTAGCCCGAAAAATAAACGTCGTTTTGATTATTAATAAATTGTAATCTCTCCGGAAAATCTCTTTAAAATTTATGGATTATGAATTTCGATCTCTTTTTTTAATTATTGAAGAAAGAAAAAAGAAATAAAATATAACTTTATTTATCGCTTTCGATCTTTAAAAATCGTGGGAAAAATAAACGTCGAATAATAACAAATTTTTCTAAGCTTACAAAAAACAAAAAACAAAAGTCAGCGAACACAACCGACAATCAAACGGCGTTAGAAAAGCGTTAGAAAACCATAAATCTAAGAACCTAACAAACTATTCATCTCAATAAATCATTCAACCACCCGCAGCTTATTTCCACCACCGTTCCCTCCGTTCCTAAATTTTTTTCACATCCCTTCAATTTTCAGACCTCCACTGAATCTCACTTTCTCGTTCCACAAATTCTGCACCCATTCAATTATTTATCTCAATGTTAGGTCCTCCTCCACGTACGGTCAATCTTTATCTAATAAAATTTATTTCACTTATATATTCCTTTTTTACTGTTGAAGCTTCGATTATACGTCGTAATTTGATTCGTTAAAAATGATATAATACTCCTATTCAACAAATGCTGTTTTTCTTTTAACAAACAAGTTAAGAAGAAAAATTAAATAATTTTAATTTTATTTTAGTATTAAGAGAGGTATTGGTTTCTATCGATAACATTTTTTTTAAAAAATAATTTTGTAATGCTAGCTAAAAAATTATCGGATTGACAGATAATTCAATATTCATCAAATAAAATAAAACAAATAAAGATTGATAAAAGAAATTGTTTGAACCACGCTATTTTCTATCACACGAAAAAAACTTTCTCTACAATTCATTTTCAAATTGTACGATGAATAGAATTGCAATTACGTGTATTGTGATTTATCTCGAAAAATAATACAGAAAAATAAAAATACCTATTTCTCCTTAACATTCTTTCGAACAAACGAACCTTTCTACGTTTACCTTTTTAATTCACGACGCGTTACAAAAGGGTGAGAAAGTTACGCATATACGTGGAAACGATCTCGACCTGAAATTCTTGAAGCACGGAAGCGCTTTATATGTTTCGAATGCCGATGGCAATCGAAATTGCCAGGGACCCTTCCCGACGTCTCTCTGCCATTGACAGTAATTGGTGGTTATTCCGACTCTAACGGCATTCCTACGTCCACGTCAGATCCTTCCCCTCCGTTCTATGTACACACGTGTACAGTTACACCGGAAGTGCCACCCCTCCTCCTTCTCCTCCTCCTCCTCTTATTACATGTCGATTCATCGTCTGACAAACTCGGTCGAAAAGAAAAAAGAGAAAGAGAAGTGTTATTTTATTGAGAATTGATAAGCGTTATTGGTCAAGAATTTTTTCACGATTTCTTACACGGAACGAGAATTTTGTTTTTATGAAATAATTTTAGTATCAAGAGATATTGGTTTCTAACGATTACATTTTTTTTAAAAATAATTTTGTAATACTAGCTACGAGTAAAGAGAGAAGCTTATCAAGATTATATTTATGAGAGGAAATTTTAAATTTTCGGCTGACTTTGAAAAATTGATGAAATTTGATTGAAGATGGAGAGGTTCGATCGTGTAGATAAGGTATCTGGATAAGCAAAATGTGATTTTTATGTGTAAAAGTAGGTCGAAAATGTGGAGTAAAATTTGTTCGCTGGAAATCATCGTTTTTGAGAAATTTTTCAAACGAAAGTAAATTTTGATCGATTTTCACTTGGAAAAATTGTAATTAATGAATTTCTATTTTTTTTTTTTTTAATTCTTAAAGAAGAATTGAAATCGCGAAGAGAATCGAACAATTTTCAAATTCAAAAATTCGATTTCGTCGAACGAAGAGCTTTGAAAATGAAAAAATTTTTTTCTAGATTTTTTTTTTCACATATTTTTCATACATAGCATAAGCCTTTATCTATTATCCGTACGTATGAATATTGAATCAAATTCACTCGAGTTCGAAAAATTTTTAAATTCGATTTTCTCGAAAACGAAAATTCAAATGAAAAAATTCTATTCCACATTTTCGATTCATTCTTGTATTATATACATCATTCTGTAGATTGTAACATCATTGTGAATCCATTAAAAAATCTTGGAAAGTAACTATAAATACATATACTAAATATTAAAATATATCATTAGTCTAATACTTGAATCACCATCCTCTGTATTCACCCTTTTTTAAACAAACAGTGTTTACAAACATCGTCCCATAAAAGAGCGAGAGTCGTTACATACAGTTACATCGTTCAACAATCAGACTCTTTGATTCCCATTTAACTTTCAGGTGGAAATCGAGGGGCTGACAGGGGAGATCCGCTTTAACGATGACGGTCGCAGGCACAATTACACCCTCCACGTTGTCGAGATGACGGTCAACAGCGCCATGGTCAAAGTAAATATATTCTTTTTTTTTTTTCTCCTTCCTAGAATCCCTTATTTCCCTCTTCCTTCATTATCTCTACACCAGTTTCCAAAATGTTCAATCAACCAAATCTCTCGACAAAAGGGAAAAGGGAGGAAAATATTGATATTACACAAATACGAAAAGAAACAATTGGATTGTTTTAATTTCTTTCTTTCTTTTTTCCTTCGACGATTTTGCTCGACAATATTGACCATCTATAACCACGAACACATACACACACGTTCATCACACGTTGATTGTAACGTATCTCGACCAACTATCAGCTATTCACGATTTACCTTTCAAGGTGGCTGAATGGACGGACGAGGCTGGATTCCAGGCAATCGCGGCAAAGTACATTCGACTTCGACCGCACGCGGAAATCGAGAAGAATAAAACCTACATTGTCACAACCATTGTGGTAAGAATGGACGAAACGAATAGGATTGTGTTTGTTCAAATGATTGACTTTTTTTTCTTGATTTGCTTATTGTAATATTGTGTCCAATGGTACAGGAGGAACCGTATATTATGCAGAAAAAATCGGATAGCGGAGAGATATTGACTGGAAATGATAGTTACGAGGGCTACTGCAAAGATTTGGCTGATCTCATAGCTAAGAAACTGGGAATAACGTGTAAGTATATATTTATCGCACATTTTTGCAAGAATATTTTGCTTTTCTCATCCTTTCTGATTATTATATAATTGTAGTATCATTGCATCATCTCAAGATAATATAAATTTTGAATGCTTGTTCACTGTCTACCAGGAATAAAAATAAAAAGAAACAGAAAAAATCCATCCCTTTCGAAAATCTTTTTTCTTTGAATCTGTACAAATCAAAAGAACAATTCAATTCTCGAAACGAAAAATAAGTATCAAACAAACTTTCGAATTTTAATTTTGACAGATAATCTTTTAATTAACAAAATTATAATTACAAAAGTTAATTGAATGCTTATTTTTATATAACATATCTTCTATCATAATAAAAATCATAAGATAATTTCAAATCCAAGAAATAAACTATTAAAAAAGGAAGAAAAAGAATAATTTTTTTAATAAACAAAAAAGGAAAAAAATTTTATATTGTACGAAAAAAATAAAAGTCCACAGCTTACACTTACACTTTTACCACATTTTTCTTTATATCCAATTTTCTATCTACGTGAATAACGCCCCCCAAGAAAAGAAATGAAAATAAAGATTAAACAATATCGATACAAGCATCCGCCTAGTTACCCCGCCCTAAAGTAGTTCAAGAACTTTCCACTTTCAATTAATTCAACGAAACAACTATTCCACTACTAATTCAATAATCTCATCACTTTTGAAATTAAATGAATCAAACAGAAAATTTTCCTTTTCCAGACGAACTTCGTATAGTAAAAGACGGTAAATACGGTATGGAAAATTCTGACGTTCCCGGTGGTTGGGACGGCATGGTCGGCGAGCTGATCCGCAAAGTAAGTTTCAGGGAGATCGATCAATGTTCTGGAAAACGTCCATCGAGATCTCGATGCGATTTCTAGAACAAAGCGTGCCGGAAGTCAGCGTATAGGGATGGACCGAACGATTTCGTCCGACTAGGCGAAAGATTGCACTTATATTATTGATCGGCCTCGAGTTCTGTCTCGAAATGGACGTTGAACGAGCTGTTTTATCTTTGGTCAGAAAGTACGAAATTCGTCCACCAGATGTCTCGAGCGTGAAAGCTCTTTACAATCGTCTAACCTGTTTCCATCTGGCGGACGAATTTCGAAAAAAAAAAAAGAAACAGAAATTTACTCTGTTTTTCTGTAACAAAATTTTCGAAATGAAATATCATTATCCTCGATCAGATAGACGAATTTGTTTAGAAAATTAAAATTCGAATGAAATATAATTTAATATCGTTCGGTTAAGAAATTATTTTTAAACGGTTAGTTGTAATTTATTAATGTAATTTATTTTTGTAACGTTATTCATTATTCGTATTTGTTTGCAGGAGGCGGATATTGCGATTGCCCCCATGACGATCACGTCTGAACGTGAACGAGTGATCGATTTCAGTAAACCCTTTATGTCACTTGGAATCAGTATAATGATCAAAAAGCCCATCAAACAGAAACCGGGGGTTTTCAGCTTTCTCAATCCTCTGAGCAAAGAGATATGGGTGTGTGTGATCTTCTCGTATATCGGTGTGTCCATCGTTCTTTTTACCGTGTCCAGGTAAATGCGATTTTATTAAAGATATTCTCCTTTTTCGACGGATAAGTAGTTACAGTCGATATACGGTCAGGCTCAGGAGTAAAAATATATATGTTTGATATATCGTTTAATCTCTCTTTTCACATCTTTCTTATTTTATAGAATCAATTTTTATAAAATATATTTAAAAATTATACTAATTTCCCTCTGTATCATGTATTATATATTATTATTCACTGTCTACCAGGAATAAAAATAAAAAGAAACAAAAAGAATCCATCCCTTTCGAGAAAGTCTTTTTTCTTTAAATCTGTACAAATCAAAAGAACAATTCAATTCTCGAAACGAAAAATAAATATCAAACAAACTTTCGAAAGATTTTAATTTTGATAGATAATCTTTTAATTAACAAAATTTACTATTATTATAAAAATACAATTATAACATTTAGAAAAAAAGATATTTGTATAATCAAGTATAATATTTCCTACAAAATCTCACGAAAACATACACAAAATTTCACAATGCAAATGTAAAAGGAAAAAAGAAGAAGAATTACGTACAAATGATCAATGAATTTTAATTTTCTCTTTCATACATTATCACACTGCTAGACGCTCTATCTCACAAGGTAATTCTTCAAATTGTAACCTATGTAAATCAACGGGAGAAACGAAATTTATCGTCGCAGAAATTTCCGTGGCCGTGATTGATGTCGCGCAAACGACACACGCCATTACCTTCTCCTCTGGTATTTCGCCCCTCGATCTTGCTAATCACGACTAACCTTGTTTGGTATTACGTGTCGACTCGCGACAATCACGCGTGCATTTATCGCGATCCACAACGATAAATCGCCCCCGCTTTTCTTCCGCCCTCCTTGATATTTTACCATTCTCGCGTGACTCCCCCAAATACGATTTTAAACGATCGCGATTCGAGGATTCGATCGTAATCTCGATGGAGGAACGATAAAATGGAAATATCTTATCGTTTGGAACGGTGGATATCTTGATCGATCACTGCCTTCCTAACCGAGTTCCCGGTTAATTTACCAAGGAAACGTACGACCGGATGTCTCTTTAGATTTTCTCTCCACGATAAGGCTTTATGCCGTGTTTCAATGAAATCTCTCTCTTTCAAATTTGCATCGTTGGATCATATATGGTGGATTCATATATTAATTTTATATATTTTAATATTTTACAAGAATCGTTGATAATCTTGTAAGATAAATAAATAATAGAATTAAGGGAAAATTACTTGTTAATCAGATAAATCATATCACCATATATATTATGTTTCTTGTAAAATTAAATTCAAAAAATATCTAGAATTATTTTCATTTTTTCTTAGATTCTTATATCATTGTTATTTTTCTCTTCAATTCGATTATTTAAAATTTTGAAAAATTACATGTATTATATATATAGGAATACTTCGATTAATTGCACGTTTCTTCGCAGGTTCTCCCCTTACGAATGGCGAGTACTGACACTGAGCAGTGGTGGTGATCCCACAATGGGGACGAGAAACGATCCCACGCTGCAACATCCGCACGGGTCGCAGGGATCACCTCATATACCCACCTCGAGCATGGCGAACGATTTCAGTATCATAAACAGCCTTTGGTTCGCTCTAGCCGCTTTCATGCAGCAGGGTTGCGACATATCGCCCAGGTAAATCATTCATTTCCTCGCAACGGTTCTACACCCAGATCCCCGTGATAACCTGGCTTTGAGAAAATTACCAGTCCAGGTGCTTTAGGTAAAAATTAATTAAACCTTAATCTCGATCAATTATCGCGCACTCTTTCCACATCGCACATACGAGATCTCTGTGAATTAGAATAGGAGGATATTTTTCTAGGAAATGTCGTAGTGACAAGCTTAAATAATTTCTGATCTTTCTTTATTTAGAACACGTCGTACTTCTATCTGAATAATTTTAAATATATATATATATATGAATTTATATTTTTTTAATATTAAGAAATCGAAAATTTGCAAATATTCATTTTTGAGAAACTTTGATTGATAAGCTTGATTTTCAAGCTAGATTTTAGAAAAGCTGTTTCACAATCAAAGAAAATGATATCGTCAAGTGAAAACAAAATTGAATGTATCAATATCCATAATAATCGAAACTCAGGTGTGAACAAATATGCCAGGTCGTGTGTTATGGAGAAGAAAAACAATTGAAATTTTTTTCTCAAATAATTATTCCTATTTTTGACCTGTTCCCTATTCCTATTTCCGCGATACAAGCGAAAAGAGTAAAGTGTATAGAGTATAGAGAGAGAGAGAGAGAGAGAGAGAGAAAGCGTCTTTTATTTGAACAGGTCAACCATACTGTCTATTAATAAAAAGAATCGGGTAAGATTCTAAAGGTTCGTTGCTTCCAGCTCGCTTAAACTCTTCTATAAACGTATCATTGCTCTTCTACTATAACGAGCAACACGATCTTCTCTAAAAAGAGATTACTTTTGTGTAATTAATTACAGAATTTGATTCACGACACGACAAAGTACATTGAAAGTATAATAAATGAAATTCTAAACGACTTGCCATTCTTTGTCACCACTATTAATTACATTAACAATGACAATGATCTTTAAGGAAAATTTCTCTTTAATTGTATAATAATCGTTACGATACAATCATTACTTTATAATATATTAACTCAAATATAGAAAAAAACTACGATTATTGTTTAAAATATATAAAAATGAACGGTATAAAACTCGATGAAATCTTATTAAAAATTAGAAAAACTTTAAATCGCTATAACTTCGAAGATAATGATTTTCGATCAATCTATGAAAGATCATTAAAACCGTGGAAACTTGCTCTTTAAAATGCTTTTTCATTTATCTCGATACAACTTCCGGTTCCCGAGATATCATCGTGTAAAGAGAAAGGTAATTTTTAATCGTTTACCTTAAACTCGATTTCAATCCCGATTGAAATTAGAAAAACTTTGAATCGCTATAATTCCGAAGATAATTACTTCCGGTCAACAAGTGAACGATCATTAGAAGCATGAAACCTTCCCCTTTAAAACGCTTTTTGATTCATTCCGATACGACTTCCGGTTCCCGAGATATCGTCGTGTAAAGAGAAAGGTAATTTTTAATCGTTTACTATCTCCGTCCTTATCGGATAATCGGACCTCTCGCTCGCACTCCCTTGACTGACCTATCCCAAACTCTAGACAATCGACAGACGCGATTCCTAGAAAAACGTAGTACGCATTTCCAGGAAAAAATGTAGGTCACTGGGTCGCGGTCCCATTCATAATTTCTGCACTATTTTAAGCGCTATGAAAACTTTGAATCCTTATATCTCGGCAACCGATCGAGATATCGATAAAAATCAAAAAGTGACTTCAATGGTATGGCTTCCTCTATTTCTCGAATAGGTTTTCATGATGAAATTTTCAAAGTTTCATTGCGTGTTTTTTAAAAACAATTGATCTATTGATACAATGTAAAATATATTCGAATATTCGAACATGTTTCAATGTGTAAAAATCTGCAATATAAATAATTGTAAATAATAAAAGAATTATTAACATGAAAATACTTACTCGATCAGATTACTCATCAAATATTATGAAACAAAGTTATAAAACAATAAATTGTTATTATATGTAATTGGCAAAGTTAAGAAAAAGTGAGGAAAGAATTCTACAATTTCCTAATTAATAAAACCTTCTCATAAACGTAAGTTTAAACGCTGTCCTTCAACGCATGCACGATCTGCATCACCATCCGCCAGCAGATAGCCCAACGATGATAACCTTTAAGAGGGTGATTTACGGGGGCTGCACCCCAGGAGGGTTAAGGTACACGATAATTACTGTTGCAAATTCCTTTAAATTATAACTACGTGCTGGCGTAAACGGCGATTATAAACCGCGTGGCCGAGAATTATCAGAATATAATCGGATTACTACGTTTCTCGTAGTCTCGTGCGGGGTGTAATTTAGAACAGCACTCTCGCAATCAGCGCCGCGATTAGGCGACCAAGCTATACGAGGGCGGCTCATTTAAATGAGCGTGCCGTTTCGTAGCCGCTCGAAAATTCCATTAGCGACACGCTTGGCCGCGTCGAGGTCGTATTTGTATATAGCGTACATTTTCACCCGATTCGACTCCCCCTTCCCCCCTTTCCCTTCCTTTTTTTCAAACGCAAGTTTTACGTTCCTTTTCCAAGTTTGTCCTTCGTTTATTATATAAATATCGGGTTGTTCTCTTGAAAAAAAGAGAAAGAAGAAGAATAAAAATTTTTTGAGAATGTTTTTTATTCTTGTTTATTGATGACGTAATGAAAAATTTCTTCTTCTTTTTTTCCCAATATCTTTTTTATTTTTATAATTGGCTTCGTGTTAAAACAATCAGTAAAGTTAAAATAAGATTCAATAATGTTTTTGAAATTGTATTTTGTAATAGAATTTCTTGTAAATAATATCAAAAATTGTAAAAATCCTTCGATCTTTGTAAAACTTACTTTAGCATATATTATTTTGATCGTCGTGAAAGGATTAAGATATAAGTTTTTTATCGTTCTCATGATGAAAGTAGTTTAAATTGAATTTTTTAAAACTTTTTTTTTTTTTTTTTTTCTACGCTTCCGGGCTTTCAAGCTATATCGAGCTGTGCCAGGATCAGGAAAAATACGTTTCGTGCCAATGGTAATACCAGTTATTGCCTCTTTTGCATAAATGTCGACGTTATTTTATGGCATTCTTGGATGGTAATATTGAATATTTTATACGAATATATTATGTTTATATACGAGTGAAAAATAATAAAAAAAAAAAAAAGAATTAGAAAAATGAAATATCCAAATCAAGGATATCATTCTCATTTGAAAGAAAAATCAAAGTTTAAAAATACTGCATAAACACAAGTTCTTTACTGTACTGCTTTAACACAAGTTCTTTCTTTTTTCCTCCAATGTTTCGCATAATATTCGTTTCATCTCTCTAAAACAGAAATTTGAATCAGTATTTTACAATAAAACTGTTTAAATATAATTTTAATATAACGTTTGATCCACAAGAATCAAAGAATCCTCCTTTAAGAGAAACTTTTTAAAGGAATATGCGATCACTTTTAAAACAAACAAAAGTTGAAGGGATGAAACTGTTCACGGATGGGCTGCTCTCGTAAATTTTCGGAGAGACAGTTTTCACGGCCCGTTTCGGCCACTTTGAAATTGGGTCTCGATTAATTTCCATCCACCATACCAGCCCATCGCGGTAGACTCCTTGATTAATGGTTTAAATATTCGCCGATATGAATTGTAAATTTTCGTGAAACATTCTCTGTCCACCGCCTCTTCCTCGTTCCGCTTCTTTCCTCTCCGCCTGATTCCGAGCTCGAAGTTTCGCCATTAAATACCGCCATATCCATTATTGGATAATTCGGTTTAATTTTCGATTTCAAAGTTACACTCCGTTGAAAGCAGAGAGCGAAGAAAGTTGAAGGAAAGATTTAAGGATATTATACTTAAGAAATTGGCTTTGGTGAAAAAGATAAAAAAAATTCGAGGTATTTAAATTTTCATGAGTAAGCTTAACCTTTTCTGTTTACAAGAAAATTTCATTTCTGAATTCTTTCAAAGATTATTTTTCCCGAATTCTTAATAATAAATAAAAAATAATGGTAAATTTAGATTGTCTATAGAAACTGCAAATGAAAATACATACAATTTAAGATTCACACGAATTTCAAAAAACGAATATATCGAACAAATATATATGCATAATAAGTTCTTAATCATATTTATTATATTTTAACAAATAACAATTCGAAACGAATTCTAACATATTGATTTAATTTATGGATACATTAAATATATCTTTCGATATAATAAAAATTTAAAAGAAAAAATTTGAAAGATTTTTTTACTTTGACTCATTGGATTGATGAATATCTCAATATCATCTTATCACGACTAACTGTTCCAAAATTTTTCTTAATCCCCGCATCTCTCGTTCTCGAATAATTATCAATTAAAAAAAAAAAAAAAAAATCACACACAGATCGATATCAGGACGAATAGTCGGCAGCGTGTGGTGGTTCTTCACCCTGATCCTAATCTCCTCGTACACCGCCAACTTAGCCGCTTTTCTAACGGTGGAGAGGATGGTCGCGCCGATTAACTCGCCGGAAGACTTAGCCTCGCAGACGGAAGTGCAATACGGCACGTTATCTCACGGCTCAACTTGGGACTTTTTTCGCGTAAGTGCGTAAGAAAAATCGAGGGATCAATTGATGAAAATTTATGGGGGATGTCCTATTCTCCATTTTGCAGAAATCGCAGATTAATTTGTACAGCAAAATGTGGGAGTTCATGAACTCGAGGAAGCACGTGTTCGTGAAAACGTACGACGAGGGTATTCGAAGGGTGAGGACCAGCAAAGGGAAGTACGCCCTGTTGATCGAAAGCCCGAAGAACGAGTACACGAACGAGAGAGAGCCCTGCGACACGATGAAGGTCGGCAGGAACCTTGACGCCAAGGGTTTTGGAGTGGCCACGCCATTGGGATCCCCTCTCAAGTAAATCTTATCTATTTTTGTTATTACTTTCCTATAATATTCAAAATGAAAATATTGTGTCTATAAATTTACATCAGAGTGAATACACTATTACTTGATTGATAAAGTATAATAAAAAGAAATTAAAATGAATGAGATTGAAAAGATGTTTCTTCATAAAATGACACGAAAGCAAAAGAATTAATAGAGCGTGTGAAATTATATTTTTATAGTATATGATGTCGTAAATAATATTTCCAAGAAAATTTCTTTTTAAAATCTGAAATAAACATTTTCTTCAACATTGCAATGTTATATTTCGTTAAACTAAAGAAAACAAGAATCTTGGAATTTCTTAATGATCCTTTCAAGGGATCGTGAACGAAATTTAAAAATCGACCAGCTTATTAGCTATTTAACAGGAAAAGTTTCTTTTCGATATTTCTCGACAACAACCATTCATCACGTATTCGCGAGCAACGAAGGGATTGAATGGTTCGACCTATTTCCTCCATACGAGGAGGGCATAATTAACGAGGATTTGTAACAGGCAAGAAAGAGGCAAGAAAGTACCCCCCTCGTTGCCTCTTTGAAATACTTTCGAAAAGGTCGTTCCACACAATTAGCATAGAAAAACTCGTACACTTATTTTTTTCATTACTGTTTAAAGGATGAGCCCGATTCTCGTCCAATTCAATCTCTCCAACAACGTTCAATTTTTGTGATTCAACGATTATTTCTCGATTTTTTATCGCATCTGTTCGTGCGTCGAGTTTTTCTGTGGATATTCTTGCTCGTTGTTTCTTCTTATTAGCTTTGTCTCTCATTTAATAGAATTGATATGTTTTCTGCGAATTATCAGGATGATTAAAGGATTTTGTTTAACAAGTTTTATTTCTTTCTTTTTCTTTTTGAACGAAATCTTGTATCGAATTTCTATTGTTAATTCTATAAATTTTATATTTCTTATTATTATGTTATTTCGATATGTATATTGTAATAAAATAATATAAAAGAATTTTCATAATTCAATCTTTTGAAGGATTAATAATTATCATTTTTAAATTAATCTTAAGTGAGATTTTTCGATATTTATTTAAATAGCTTCTAAAGACATATGATCCATTGAAAAATATCAAATTTCTAAATTTCTATATCTCAGAACTTTAGAAGATGAAGTAATTTTTCAAAAAAATTAAATTAAATTTCGATACTTTATCAGCTTGACTTTTGATAAATCATTTAAATCTTACATCGAAATTTATTCAACTTCTGATGGTAATTCTTCGATTAAAATTCTAATATTTTGCTTTAAATTAATATTATTTAATTTCTTATAATATTTCATATTTTGCAGAGATCCGATAAATCTGGCCGTGCTCTCGTTGAAAGAGAACGGAGAACTGACGAAATTGGTGAACCGATGGTGGTACGATAGAACAGAATGCAGGCACGGTGACAAACAGGACGCCTCCAGAAACGAATTATCCCTCAGCAACGTGGCAGGGATATTCTACATTCTTATCGGTGGGCTGCTTTTAGCCCTAGCCGTTGCATTGCTGGAATTCTGTTACAAATCGCACACGGAAGCTACCAGAGCAAAAGTAACGAATTGATATTATTGTCAGCCGAATTAGAAAATTCCTTTCATCCTTCCCAAATTAAGGGACACTTTTATAATTCGATTAGATAATATCAAGAAATTTTTCATACCAAATTGCTGATGTTAATAAAAAGATTTTACTCGAATCATTCACAAAAACGAAAATATTCTATTCAAGTTAAAAAGCTCACTTTTATAACTTAATTAATTATCAAAAAATTTTTAATATCAAATTGCTGATGCTAATAAAAGAATGACTGAAAATTAATTGACTAATTTTCTGGAAAAAGCAATTTCACTAAATCTTCGCAAAAACCAAAAAAAAATCTGTTATAAATCCAAATATTTCTCGATCCCTTATAACCATTACCTCATTCTATTCCTAAAAAAATTCTACTTCCTGTTCCAATCTACCTTCGATTCTTCCACCCAAAGATTCCATTAATCAAGACAAAACTTTTCAGATCCCGTTGTCGGACGCGATGAAGGCGAAAGCCCGATTGACGATCGGCGGCGGTCGAGATTTCGACAATGGCCGGGTAAGTAGCGAGTCCACACCAGATCGGATCGGATCGTAACCACGCGGCCATGTGTAGAAAACACGCTCGAATAGAATCGAGTCGAGGCGAGCAGGGGAAGGGTACGGAAAACGGTTTCTCCCCTTTCATCTCCACATTTTAAAATGGAAAAGAAATATCGACGTAAGGAGGGAACTGGAGAACCGGTTTTCATCCCTTTCCCACCCCTGCCTCGAAACCAACGATCTCGAAATGTATCGTGTAACATACGCCCCCAACGTGGCGGCGTCGGGCTGCATTATGCATATCCGTGCAATACAAGAACCTCTATGACATACATATGCATATATACATAGAAGCATATATATATATATATATAAATATATATACAATAGAGTAAGTTAAGGCATGCAGTTAGCAGGGTGTATACGTTCCACGTGTGTATTGTGAAAGATGGCCTGGGTATCGAGAATTTCGAACAGGGACGTGGTTCTCGAACGATGTTTCTCACGATCGACCTAAGGGCTGTCATCGATCGTTCTCGATATACACATCGTGTATTTTATTATACGTTGATACGATACTCGTATAGGATGTTGAATATAACGCGTTCGTGAAATATACTTTTCGAGGGATCGAAAGAAAAATCTATAATGGAAATTTAAATTATAATATTATAAGAACTTACGAAATGAACTTTTCTAAAGTAGAATCGAACAACGTATGTTTTTTTCTTTTCTTTCAAAGTTTAATAAACGATACGTAAAATTTTTAGATTGTCTAGAATATATCTTTGAAATATATTCCACGAATGCATTAACAGTCTGTGCATAAATAAATATTACGTATAGAAATATACAGATTATTTAATTTATATATATATATATATGTGTGTGTGTGTATAACATATATATATATATATATATCATACGTATATGCGTGCGATGTGCGGCTGGCTGGATGTGTTGCGCTCTTTTCTACTTTCTATTTATTATTACTTACATACCACCTCGTTCTTCCCCTCTCTATCTCTATCTCTATCTCCCCTCACCTAACTTTCTATCTATTATTTCTCTGTTTGTAACTCGATGGATGCAGATGGAGACCGTAATTTTTGCTCGTTTTGCGCGTTTCGTTCTACTTTTGTTTTTGTCTCTAGTGGTACGGACTGCAGAGTTAGACGGAGGATGCATGCGCCTTTCCCGGGACCATATGTGAGTACTTTCTAACCCTTAATTATACGTCCCATCGTGCGCTCTCTCTCTCTCTCTCTCTCTCGATCACGATTCTAAATGCGCCTATTCTCGATCCCTGTTTCGTCCCCTTTCTGCTTCACGCCATCTTTCTTTCTCTTCTTCTCGAATCATCGAGAGATGATAGGTAGTGTGTACTCTCTGTGTCACTCTTTCACTCTTCTTCGCTCTCATTTCTCTTCGATTATATCAAACTCGAAACAATTCGAATTTTTGTATAAAAATACAGATGTTCAATCTTCATTCAAATATATATATATATATACTCGTCGATGCACGATTCAGTTACAGAAATTTGAATATACGTGAATTGAATATATAATAAAACGATCGGCGAATTTTTTGAAAATTGTTTGAAAATAATTTGCTCGGGTATTTTCGCCTTTCTGAAAATTGAACGTACACACACGTCGCAAAGCGTCCTTCTACCTCCTGCTCGCTCCTCCATCTTTACAGCTTTGGTTATCATGAAACTTGCTTACGATCGCGAGACAAGAGCATGGCTTGCAGCATTATTCTTTTAGAGGATGGTGAGGAATGAAACCGTGATTGATTTGTCGAGATCGCATGCAGCTTTGGAAATGCTTGTACGTTAGACACTGTGTTTACACTGCTATATGAACTTTCTTCCTTGTTTTCAGATATAAACAAATATATACCGCGAACAAAATTTTTTAGTAAATACACGATCTATTAAAGTTTTTTTTTTTTATAATTTCTACGAATCTAATTCAAAAATCCATCTACTTTATTGTTAACAATGGAAAATCTCGTTCGAAGTAACTCTTTGACAGTAGATAGGGAAGAGAGATTAAACTTATTCATTCGATGAACGAATTGCACCACCACCGTGGAAAAAAATCTCCAATCTGAATAATGCAATTTCAAACTCGATCGTATATAACAAATTTAAAAAGGCGGGGGGTTTGAATTTAAAAACAAAGAGCTAAAAAGAGCACGTCTTTTCCAAAAACACGGTATTATTTTTTTAACAATTTTTGCCTTTTTTGTATAACTCTTTTTTCCCTTTTCTCCCATTTTTTTCCTTTTTTTTTTTTTTCTTTTCAAACAATATATGTCAAGCACGATTACTCGTTTTAAAACGCTTTAACGCAGCGAAATGGAATTTTCAGTAGCAGTGTAAACAGACCTTTGAACGGAACTGTGCATCGAATGACGACTCGCCTCGTCGTGTCGTGTCGTGTCGTGTCGTTTCTCTCGCGCCAAAAGCGCGATACGATCCCCTCCTCCTCCTCCCCTCCCCTCCTCTCTCACTCCGTCACTCACTTCTCTTCCGGAGCAAGTACGTTTCACAAAAGGCAGGACGGTAGAACGACGGTAGACCGTGGAGAGAATTTTTATGCATCGTTCGCGAGACACTTTTCCTTTTTTTTTTTTTTTTTTTTTTTTTTTTCTTTTTTTCTTTTTTTTTTTCACAAACGGGACGCCCGTTCGCAACGAATCGCGATTCACTTCTTCTCCCTCAGACAGGTAATTTCCTCGAAGGTGGATAATTATCTATGGGTTGGTGGATATTTGTACGGACGAACTCGATTGTATGAGAAAAAAGAAGAAAAGGGGATATTAAGATTAGAGAATATAGAGAAGGATCCTCATATTTAATAGGAGGAATGCTATTCGTTTTGTGAATGAAAGAAATTCGTAAAAAAATTGGAAATGAATAGGTTTGTTTCTTTTTTCCTTTTTTTTTTTTTTTTTTTTTTTTTAATACGTGAGAATAACGTGCATTTTAATCTAAAGTAGAATTTTTCGGGATGCGTAATATCCGAAATGTTCTATTATCCGAGTGTATTCATTTATTATTCGCAAGTATAGGAAATACGTGTCTCTTTTTTTCATCACAAGTAGGGAGTAGAACGTAATTTAAACTTGATGTTGGACACGTTTACATTATTTATTTATAGAATGAAATTATTGAAACTTGGAAATTAGAATGGCGCGATTTTACATTACAATTAAATAAATACGATTTTGTTCTCTTGTCCAAACGGTCAAGACTCTTTATCGGATAATAAATGTCCATTCAGAATCGTTTGGTTAAAATTTGATGAAATATGTTCGTGTTCTTCTTATTCTTATCTCTTTCATTTTTATTTTTTCAAATTTATAGGATCCTGCATTTCCAAGAAAATTTCTCTTACGTCGAAGTACGTACAGTATGTACAATTTGAATCGTTCGGGTAATTGAAACGAGATGAATACCTCTGGATATTAAAGAAATCATATATGGAAATCATATATTCTTGCAATACGGTTGAAATCCATTCTGAAAATTTACTTATACTCGAAGAACAACCCGTTAAAATGCGAAAGAAAAGGTTCGCCTGTAAATTGGAACAAATATTCCAAGATTAAATACAAACAATTCTCACAAAGAAGAGAAACAAACTTTCTCTCTTCGAAGCAAATAAATTTCAATAGCAGTTAAAAAAATTTCCATCATTCCAAAATCCGTCTGTCACACCGCTTCCCACACAAATAAACTCACATCAAATTACCAATTACCAAATAAAACTTTAAATTAACACCAACGAGAAGAAAGCACCAACGTAAAAAAAAAAAAGAAAAATCTTCACACAGCACCACGCACCTCGAATCATCCCCCATCATCGAAACCACCCCAAATTCGAAACCAAAATCCCCCCCAAAAAAAAAACGAAGAAGAAGAAAAATTCACCCCATTCACTCACTCACCACTTCGAACTTTGAACTTTCCACTTTGACACTCGACTCGCAATTCACAGATCCACAGGAGCACGATTCACACGATTCACCCCCCCCCCTTTCTCGAGCACCTCCCCTCTCCTTCAATTATTATTATTATTAGGGCTAACGGGAGACGGTTGGATTTCCAGTACTACGCACCGGCAAACGCGATTGGCAATACCGAGGGCGACCAGGTGCACAGCAATACGCATACCCAGGTGTAAATTACCTGGAAAGCCACAGCATGGAAAGCCCTGGCGAGTCGCCCGCAATCTCCCTGCCCACGCCTCCGCCGCCGCCCCTGGTGGCGTCTCTGCCTCCACCGCCGCCGCCCCCGCCGCCCAGAAGACCGCAACGAAGAAGCGTCACCTTCGCTGAATCGCCGCCAAAGAGCCCGAAGAGGACGAGGTTCTCGCCGTTCCTGCGAAGGCCGAGCATCACCATGCTGGACGTCGCGGTGCCCTGGACACCGGCTTCGCCGCGGGTCTGGTCCGGCCGTCCCGGCGACTACAAGCCCGAATACATCATTTAAGAAGATATATATATATATATACAGACGAACGAGAATGAGAAGAGGAAGAGGAAGTTAGGAGCTCCTTACCCTACGTGGAGGAGCTGGCTCCCACAGCTCCTCGGAACATCCAACGATCCAATTGACAACCCGCGTTTGCCGCTAGTCGAATCATCGCGACTCTCGTTCTCTCGGCGCCGATTATTTATAAAAATATATATATATATATATATGTATACACATTGGACGATGAAATTGGATTCGAGAGATTTCGAAGGAAGTCGGAGGGGAGCGATTTTTCGCAAGTTGATGGAATAAGGTGAGAAGGGTTGTTTTCAAGTTCCTCGAATCGTACTGCCGCACGCGTGATTTGAGATCGTCGAGACTTGAGACTTAGATCGTTTTCGATTTCACCGCGGGGATCGATACGCATCGGTTCGAGAGGGACGAAGAGGAAAGGTGTGCGTGCGTGCGTGCGTGTGTGTGAGCGAGCGTGTGTGTTCCGAGAGAAGATAAAGAAAAACTGGAAGGAAATGCCTCCTCGTGGTTTGTACATTGTATATATTGCGCGCGTAATAATAATGTAATAAACGTAAACGCGAAAGGGCGAAGGAGAAAGTGAATGGTGAGGACTCAGGGTAACTGAGTAAGAGGAGACGAGAGTACGACGAGCTATCGAACGCGGCTATCGATAACCGGGCGAGAACGGGTCGCGATATTCGATATAGTAGAATTCGATGGTCCTGGGGTGGGTGCATGTGCAACTACTCGACAACACAACTCAACTGCCATTTCCGTGGGAGGGGACCGCATAAGTGTCCCCGCATACACGTGTATGTATACGTATACGTGTTTCGGGAGCGAAAATGAAGAATGGTCGACCGTTTGAGAGAAGAAAGAGGATGAGGTTCGTGAAAAGGAGAAGAGAAAAGAGAAAAAAAGGAAAGGAGAAGGTTGACCATTCATTGCTTACTTTATTATTACGTATATTATTAATATCGTTATTATATTCTTTATTAATATTACCGCGACGTTTTTTTTCTTATTACGAGTTCGTTTACAAATTTGTATTTGTACAACGTTGCGTATTTTATTGTTGCGGGAATGGAGAAAGAGGAACAGGGAGGGGGGAAAGGGGGGAGAGGAGGGGAATAGAGACAGGAGGATAGATTTTTTTTAACTGAAGAACAATATTGTGTAATAATCACATCAATGATCGCGTGAGCATTGCGTGTGTGATAAATAATATATATATATATATATATATATAAGAAAAATATAAATATAAATATAAATATATATATATATATATATATGAATATACATACGTATAGATATATCGAAAGAACGTGAAGACGAAAGAGAGAAGGAGAAACGTGCGAAAGGAGAATGTTTCGAATTGTATGCGTGAGAGCAATTAGGATTAACGATATCGTGTAATAAACGCATTATTAAGTACCTATCACCGCCAGTTCGCGCCGATCCGAGCCGACGAGAGGACGAAAAGGGAGGGCTTTTTTTCTCTTTCTCTTTCTCTCTCTCTCTCTCTCTCTCTGTCTCTCTCCTTTTTCTTCTCTTTTCCCTCGACGGCCGTAAATTTTTACAAGCGCGCGGGCCGATTTTCGAGCTGATTCTCGAACGCCTCCTTCGTCGTGATCGCCGCGATCTGGCGAAAACGAACGAACGACGTACGTTTACGGCCAAGGTTTTTCGTGCCAAAAGACGATATCTCTCCCCGATATAACACGATAACACGTCCGGTGCCGCGATGCTGATACGAATGGAAGCCGCTCTCCGACGTCCAATATATATATATATATATTGAAATATTATTTCGAACGTTATCGCTCGACGGGTTGAAACGAGGGGGAGGGGGAAAGAGGGATGCGTTAAATAACACGTTATCGAGAAGATTGAGAGGGATTTTATCGAAATTTATTGCTGGTCAATGAATTGATTCGGTTGATGAATATTGGAACATATTTGATGGAGAAGTGAAAACGATTTTTATGAATTTGGAAGTTTGAAAATTTGATGAAATATCGTGTAAACTGTAACACGATTCTAAAGAATTTATTCGAAGCAGGAAATCAAAAGCGAATATATATATATATATATATTTTTAATTAATAAATAGAAAAAGAGAGGAATCTGATAGAAATCAAAATTTCGAAGAAAATCAAAGTAAGATCGTTCGAGCAATATCGTCATCGTGGCATCGAACAATATTCCAGGGGAGATATATTCTCAGAGCCAAATTACATGTTGCGACGTATAAAACTATTTTTCTGAGTATTCACGCTACTCTTGTCTCAGAGCACAACTTCGGTTCATAACATGACATGGTTTTATTTACTGCCATAGATCGAAAAAAAAAAAAAAATAAGGAAAGGAAAAAGAAAATACTCGTCAATTGTTCGTTTTGAACCTCGGTGTCTTCTTACGTTCATTTCCTTCCCATCCGATCCTCTCGAGGATCGAGGATCGACCGCCTGTTTTATACGTGGCAGCGATACGTGACCGATCTACCTATCATATCGCCAGATTTTCTTATTACGACTAATTGTTATCTATCCGCGGTTCGAAATAACGATAGATTACAAATACCGTGTATCGTGACACGTGACACACGCGATGAACACCGTGGGGTGAGTTTTATCGGAGGATGTCGAGCCGATCTTTGATCGAAGGCCGCACGTTCTCACCATTTTGCGAAGCGTGATATCCGCCGATTTGAAATTGAAAATCGGGTACGCGCGAGGCGCGAGTTTGAATATGAATCCGATTTCGAAAAGAAGATGTATAAGTGTACAGATATCAAGTTGTTCCCAAAAATTCTTTTCGGGATGATGATGACTCGATTGGCCACGCCTTCGATCGAAATAATTTCTTTTTATTTATCAATCGTTACCTCGAACGTAACATAAATCTACGCCATTTTCGAAAGAATAAGATAAAAATTTCATGGTAATGGAAACGGAGCTACGAGAACGCTGTATATAAAATTTTATAAATAATAAAATATTATAATCTGATTAATGTAAGTAATGTTTTCAATAGCTCAAAATTCTAGAAAAAATAATAATAATAAAAGAAGATGTGAGAAAAAAATTTTTGGGACAATTTGGGATAAAAATTTCGAATTGGAGGGTAACTCGTGTCCCCGGCACGTGACAGCGTGGCGCCAAATTCGAATTGTATAAACGCGACGGTATTTTTGTTCCCCCTCCCCGTCGTTGTTAACGTTTTTTGATGTTCGTCGTCACTTTTTCTAATCAAACACACGGAACGAAATCACCTTCATTTTTTCGAAAAATGAAGAAACAATGTAACAGTCCCCGTATACCGTCCCGGCATCGTTACGAGAGAATTTAACCCTGTTCGTTTTCTTTTTTTTTCTTTTTTTTTTTTTCTCTCACGTGAAATGAACGAAAAGAGGGGAAAAAAAAAAACAGATGAACACGAAGCTCGAAAAACATTCAGGATATTCTATCTGCTGGATGATTGTAAATACTTTTCTCCTGCGAGGGAAATAGAAGAAACGTGTACGATGGAATTTTTAATTTTGTAAAATATAATAAAGGAGAACTAGGATGGAGAAAAGTCTTTTTTAGAATATTTACCGATATTTTCTCGAATGTTAATTGTGATAGAAACGTTTCATAAGCAATTGAAGTGGCGAGGAAGAATGATTATAATTTTTTTGGAAGTGTTTACAGTGATTCAGTAGAATAGATCGGTCAATGGTTTCCTCTTTGTTCACCTTCTGATCCCTCCTCTCATATTATATATAGAAAAATGAATTTGTGACAAACTGTTATATAAACTGGATGACTGTAAATATTTCCTATATTCACAATGAATAATAACACTTTTGTAATTTTTTCAAGAAAAAAAAAAAATATATACAATACTTGCTTCCTTACTTATAACATTCTATCTATCATATTTTTTTTATTAACCAAAAGTTAAACGTGTCAAAAGATAGAAAAACTTTGCAAAAGATCCACAATCTAATCAATCCTGATAATACAAAAAAAGGTACAAAAAAAAGTGATAAAAAACTTTTTCTCTGACGTGTCGAAATGCTAGATAGAACATTTTAACTAAGGATGACAAAAATACCAATCCAATATAAAAAAAAAATAAAAAAAACAAAAAATAATAATAAAAATTCATCTTCGATGCTTCGATTTACAAAAGATTAAGTGACAAAAGATTCTTAATGAGATTAAACCTAAAAATAATCGAAGCGGTTAAAGGTGGATAAGTATTTACGGGAATCCAGTAGAATATCCCATTATCTGATCAGACGATTGCGCCACGAGCCGTAAAAGGAGGAAGCGCGCAAAACGGAACTGAAACAGAGCGAATATAAAAGGCGAAACTCTTTCGAGGCTCGTTTCGAGAAAAAAGAAAGAGAGAAAGAAAAAGCGTAATTAAAAGTGTAAAAGAAGAAAAAAAAAAAAAAAAAACGTGCGTGGAACGAGATCACGCGATGAGGATCAAACGAGAGAAAAAGATGAGACAAGAACGAAGAAGAAGAAAAAAAAAAAAAGAAAAGAAAAGGAAGGAGAAAAAGGGGGAAAAGAAAAAGTAAAATAGCGTCTTCCAGTTTGCGCTTTCACCGATCGCCGCATAAGAATTACGCTTGTACCTTCGATTCGAGTATCCTTCGTCATCTCCCGTACCATTCCGTGGCATGATACGATCGATCCCCTTGTAAAACCAAGTTGTATACCAATCAAATTTGTCACAATACAGGATCGTTTATTTAAATGTAAACCGCGATGTGATTCGATCCCTCCTTTCCCCGATTGCTTGCCAAGGTAAGTGTGTACGTATACCGTCTCGTTAATTGGAAATTTACATCTAAATCTCTCCCCCGTTAATCGGTAATTTGCATCTAAATTTACAGGGAGAATACTACAGCCGCTTCCCGGAAAGCGGTAGAAATAATTTTTCCCTTCCTCCTTGGAAAAATTGTAATTGCTTTTTTTCTTTTATCACATCTTATACTTTTTGCCAGGAATGGAAAATTCGAAATGTAGAAAAATTCTATCGAGAAGAGAAGCGATTCAAATTGGTACGAAAAGTAATTCATTATTATGAAACTAATGCAATTAGTTATTAATATAATAATATATTTCGTGAGAGCTGAAAATTTATCTTTTATTGGCTTTTTGGCAAATTGTCGCAAATTTGTAATTGGAAAAAAAAAAAAAAGAAAAGGAAGATGCAAGGCGCATCTCGCGGAATTTCGAGAAGAAAGTTGGCTGGGGAGCAGGAGCGTTGAAAGTACGTTATAAAAAGTAACGAGCATGCGGAACAACCGAGTGTACCGTACAAATTAACATATAATGAATAATAAAGTGGTAGAAAATCTGCTTTTAAGGTAAGTACAAAGTAAAAACCGTTTTAAACCGAACGATAAAGAAATATTCCTCCCATTACGCTAAGTATAAAAATTGAGGCAAATTGCTGTTTAGTTACGCCATAAGAAAAAAGGAAGAAAAAGAGAGAGGAAAGAAAAAAAAGAGGGGAAATATTTACGTCCAATGTTTTTCGGAATAATAAGAGTTACTTTCTTAACGAACTTCTTTCTTTCTTCAATGTAATTTTCAGAGGAGTAGAAGTCTTTCCTCTCTCTCTCTCTCTCTCTTTTCCTTTCTTTTTTTTTTTTTTTTTTTTACTATCTCCAGGCTAGAAAGGTTTCTCTTGTATTAAATAACAAGATGTTCCTTTAAAGTTGGATCTGTTACGATTCAGGCGACGTACAAAGCGACGCTTGGCGGGAAAGCGTGGAAAGGGACTTTAAAAATTGTATCTCAAGGCGGAATACGTAAACAGAAAGAGGCAGACGCGAAGAAACAAGGGCAAGTATATAAATATTTCTACGACGCGGTGTAAGTGTTACGCTTAACCCCTTAACTTCGTAATTATTCTTTTAAAGGGGATAGGCCGATAGGCGACGCGTCTAATATGGCGAGCTTGTGTTCTAAAAAATAATCGAATTCAAACAAACTTGTGTAATATAATCGATTCTTTCCTCTTGTTTTTTTTCTTTCTTTTTAAGGGAAATATATAATTCGACTTTTATCTCGCTTTTATCCAATACGTATGTATTATTATTATTATTAAACGTAGAGCAGTGTTTAAATAGATTT